AAATCCACGCTAATATACCACTTGTATACGTGGTATTATTCCATATATTTTACACTTTTCAGCAGGGCTATTGTGTAAACGTGATAAAGTTGATGAAAGTGTAGTATTCATCATGCTATGAGAAACTCAAAGAGGCCCTTGCTTATTTTACAGTTGTCACAAACTCCAGCCAACACATACTGTAGCCAGAACAGGGTTTTCTAACTTATCCAGCTTAAGTTTCATGGCTTAATAACGTTGTTGTGAAGCATTGTACGCTGTTTGTTCTTAAACTATTTGCATGCATGTGTGTGTGTGCGTGTGTATCTGCGATTCCAGTGACCCTGCTGGATACCAGGACAGTGCCAGGAGAACTGAAATGGGCAGCCAATCCTGCAGAGGGAGGGGTGAGTGGGAGACTCTTTTTTTTTCTCTCTCTCTCTCTCTTTACAGATACACTGTTTACAACCTGCTCTCTCCTCTGAAAACACAATCTCTATCTTAAGCACATGCACATTCACACACACTTGTGCACACTTGGTCTGGAAAGCTGCAAATAATCTTCCCACAGATTTTGCAATGTGCTGTTGTTCACCAAGACTAAGTGCTAATATGAGATTGCTGGCGTTTAATTTGGCACAGGCAAAGGCACAAACCAGCTTGATGGTGGGTGTCATTTTTTTTTTTTAGGGATTTGTACTACCAAGTAATTGCCAGAATAAATCCTGGAAATATCTGTTTTATATTTTAACTTACCAGCTTTTTCTTTTTTTTTTTCTTTTTTTTGGTACTTTTTGTTGTCACCGTGATCTAAAACTGTAACATAAAAGTTATTGGTGAACTTGACTTCTATTTCTTCGGGGTTACCGTGCTCTTATTCTATCGCGTGCGGCTTGATTGACAGGGTCCTGCTCTTCACGTACTGAGCTTTAGATTAGAGGCACCCCCCATCATCCCCATCTTTCAGAAACACACACACACACACACACACACACACACACACACACACACACACACACAGATAGAAAAACTCAGCTTCTTTATGGTTGGGACAAAGAGACTCTTCCCTCTGACAGCTGTGATCTCTGTCTGCCTTAAAAGAGGTCACACCAAAAAGGTTTCTATGTCTGCTTTTGTGCACAGCAGGAAGCAGCGTACAGTTAAAACAATAGCAGACTGGTATTTCTGGACAATAAAACTCAGATAAGGCGTATGCGTCATTGCGTCGCCATGAAACTTAGCTGTCAGATTCGACGCTTGCCCAGTGTGTTTTCAGTATTTTAACTGCCCTGCTACTGAAAAATGATGAAAGAATGAAGTTTTATTACAAACTGAAGGTCAGAGTCTGTCACACGTTTGCTGCACTGCGGGTTCTTTTTGCACATCTACTAAAATTTACATCACTGGTAATTTATCAGCGTTTCTGCTGTAACCCTGCACGCACCACTGATGACATATTGATCAGGTTAAGAAAACTCTTCGCACACTCACCCTATAATACGCGCACGCCAACATACACGCGCACACTCCATCACTCACACAGTTCGCCCTCTCTTTTTCTTTCTCCGGACACGGTAAATTTAGCGTGTATACAGCTCTCACTGGTACGGAGAGAGCAAGATTATTATTCAGTGGCAATAAAAAGCCAATTTGGAGCTGGGAGGCTCAGCGGTCATTTGGAGGGTCACAGTACAAGGCAAATAATCGGCCCTATTGAGATGGATGGCGCGGCGAAGGTTGAGCCCGCCTCGCTTGTATGGAAATGCGCCCGCAGAAAGCCTTGGACTCTCAACAGATCGGAACCGCTGGCCGTTGCAGAATATTGATGCCAGAGTGAATGTTGGATGGCGAAGCTTTAAATCACTGCTGTGAATTAAGAGGACGCAGCATTGGAAATGGTTTTGGGCCCAGTCTGTAGCCTTCATTGGGACAAAGAGGACCCGATGAAGTGACCGCTTTCAGTTTATGAGGGCAGATTATGTAAACATAAAACCACCAAACATTGAGTCATTTTCTGAAAAATAATGGCTGTCTAAGTGGCTTCCTGACAAAATTGCAAAATTAGCTGCAGCTGGCAGCATGGATCCTTCTCTGTTGCTCCATACAGTGTAGCCACTGAGAATGATCACACTGAACAAACATCTGCTTATTAAAAGTTTGTCTTGTCAGCCAGCGTGTTAGTGTTTGCATGGGTAAAGTCTAGCAGTTCCCTGCAAAGCAAGGAAGCAGCTAAAAGATGCGTGGCATCTTCATTTACTCAGTGAGCTGTAATTATACACATTTTTCTTTATTCCTAAAAAAAATGTAAAACTTTCATTTCTCCTGTGGAGTAACAGAATTGCGCGTGTGTGTGTGTGTGTTTGAAGTGGGAGGAAGTGAGCATTATGGATGAGAAGAACATCCCCATCAGGACGTACCAGGTGTGTAATGTTCTGGAGCCCAGTCAGAACAACTGGCTGAGAACAGACTGGATCCCACGGTCCGGTGCTCAGCGGGTTTACGTCGAAGTCAAGTTTACTTTGAGAGACTGCAACAGCCTGCCAGGAGTCACCGGCACCTGCAAGGTAGAGAACGTTCTGCATGATGTGGAAGCAGAGGGGAGCGGCAGGACTGTAGGGATTTTTAATTAAGATTTAACTCCATTTCTCATGCTGGCTTTCACCACGAGCACAGACTTTTCCTAAAAGAACTTTCTTATATGCACAAACCCTTCATTTTTAAAATGCATGTATATGCTACTGCAAGGCATTGCATTATTTGCTGATTAGCTTAGCCCAAACCTGAATTTGACCTATTATCTTTGAGCCAAAATAGAACTATATTGATGTTATTCTTAGCCACTGCTTTTTCCTAAACCCGTTTCTTATCTTGCAGGAGACGTTCAATCTGTACTACCACGAGTCAAACGAAGACAGAGAGACCTACATCAAGGAGAGCAGCTTCATTAAGGTGGACACGGTGGCAGCAGACGAGAGTTTCACCCAGGTAACACCGAACAACTGAGTCAGGCTTTCAGTTGTTTATCCGCCCACCTCCTCTCACTTTAATTTGCCTCCATGCGGAAAATAAAACCTTCTGGCACTTAGCTGTAATTTTCTGACATGGTTTACAAGTGCTTCGATCTTGGATGTCTGTTTTTCTGTCCTCTAAAAATTGGCAGCATGCTTTTGCTTAGCCGCTCCTAAAACAAAAAAAAAATTCTGCTGATCTAAGTGTTGCACGCATTAAACGTTGCTTTTACCTGCGAAATCGATAAAAGTTCACCTGAACGAGAGCCAAGTGCCGAAAATGGAAACATCGGCAAACGGTTCAGCTGAAACTCTCACGTTCGGGTTGAACAAGTGAACCGGACTGAGATGCTTTACTGCACGTTCCATTAAGATTATTCCGTCCTCTTCACTTCCAGGTGGACGTCGGGGACCGTATCATGAAGTTGAACACAGAAATTCGAGATGTGAAGGTCACGACGAGGAAGGGCTTCTACCTGGCCTTTCAGGACGTGGGCGCCTGCATTGCTTTGGTTTCCGTCCGGGTTTTCTACAAAACTTGCCCGCTCACTGTACGGAACTTGGCGACCTTTCCCGACACGATCACCGGCGCTGACACGTCTTCCCTGGTCGAGGTCAGGGGGTCATGCGTCAACCAGTCAGAGGAGCGAGAGGAGCCGAAAATGTACTGTGGAGCAGATGGAGAGTGGTTGGTTCCTATCGGCGGATGTCTCTGCAAACCAGGCTACGAAGAGCAGGGCGGCGCATGTAAAGGTAGGCAACTATTGCTGGATGCAATGATTCCTTCTAGGTAGCTTCTTTTGACTGAATGCCTGTCAACTATAGGCATTAGATTATTTTATGCCAGCATTTGGAATTCCCACAACAGTGTCAATGACAACTTTTATCACTCCGTCCATTAGGATACAGAAAGGAAATGGAAAAGATTGGGATTTATCAAATAATCACTGTATATTTCAAACGAATTTTAAAAATACATTTAGAAACAGTTGTGGCCGTTATAGGTCTTGCTAACACAGTAACGGTGCTGTGTAATCTCACACTGAAAACACCAATATAAATCCAAAAGTTGCTGTGATTCTTGGGACTTTTCTTAACTCAAAAATGATAAGGAACGGATTTTCTCATTCTTTTTTTTTAAAAAAAGGGACAATAATCGTTACTCATTTGAAAGAGTTAAAATTGTAATTTACAAACAAAATAAACTGTGTGTGATTTTGCATGTCTTGTGACTCGAATGTTCAAAATACTACTTCTGTTACAGTAGATGAACAAAGCGCACGATGCTGAATTAGAATTTCCAAGTTATTGACTGAAATTAGTGTGTACAGTTGTTCAGTGGGGTTGCACTCCAGCTATTTGTTTTTGTAAGGCTCCAACTGTATGCAGTGATAGGTATGTTGCTTAAAATATTGGGCTGAACCTTAGAATCATTTTGTGCTTTAATAATCTCACCCCCAAAGAATACCACAAAATACAGCGATAAAACCTAAAGACCATCCCCCCCCATCTCTATTACCTGAGATTATATAGGGCTGCTGTGCCAAGTATAAAGTTGTTAAACAGCCATGATAATTTTTTTTTCGTCTGTTTGAAAGCCATAAAATCTGCTTTGCAGCATCTTTGCTTTAGACTAATTAATGCAGTACATTGATAGTTTGCACTGGTGCTTACTTGGCAAAGTCGCCGCGATGAGATCCTTCCACAGTCGGACTGTGCCCAGTCAAGAAATAATGTGTGACTCGCAGTTCGGTTGCAGAACAAATTCATCAAATGAGTCGGAACTTGTTAGCATGTTCCTCTCAGAGCTTCTCCCCTGTTAAGAAGCGGGCTACATGCTTTCACTTTGGAAGCTCTTTGGTGTGAGTGTGAGCTTAAGTTGGACGTTTGACCGTCTGGCCAGCGACACTGGTTCACGTTCTTGTGGAACAGTTTATCTGAAGCGTTTTGTCGGTGCAGATGTTTAAACGTGCGCGCTTTTTGTCTCAACGTGAGGCGCGCGGAGACAACAGACAGAGCGGAGACGCCTTTTTTTTTTTTTTTTTTTTTACGACAAGATTTGACTCCCGCTATTCAGTCCCACATGGAGCAGACACGCAACACGTCACCTCAGACACATACATACGCAGATGGACCGGGACCAACAGAGTGAAAAGGGGGAGAACAACTTGCTGATCTACACCCTTGGCTTTATTTATGATGCCCATCCTGGCGGGCTAATTGTATAACAAACAGAACCATAACTCAAAGAGAACAGAAGAGACGCTTGGAGCGGGACGCAACTCTGTGCCAGTTGGCAATAAAAAGAGAGGCGGAAAAAAAGTTGACATTTCATTCTATGCAGTGAGAACAACGCCGCCAAACATCTCTCTATGTGAGACAAACGCTCTCTGAAACCTCCATCCTGCAAACACCCTCCCGTTTGGGGGAGGAGGAGGAGGAGGAGGAGGAGGGCTGCGGGGTCGTCCTTGAGGTCTGAAATATGTTCCGAGTTTTAGGAGATCCCCCTTGACTCCACTGAACGTCCAGCAGATGTGAAGTGCCATCTATCTATCTGCAGCTCTCTTCTGCGTCTCCCGCTCTCACCGCCTGTCAGGTTGTTGGCTTGGAGCAGCTGCGTCAGGGGAAATCCATCAAAGTCCGGATGAATTCGCAGCGCTGATCCGGAGAATCTCTTGTCTCAGCAGCCAGAGATAGAGACCTGAACGTTTCTAATTGTTTCCGTTAACAATCTGTGGGAAAAAAAAAGGGGGGGAAAGGGGAAGGCAGATTTGGATGGAGGAATAATTGATAGAAAAAGGTTATAGTCTTTTCATGTCACCGAGGTTATAAAGTTCGAGAATATTCTTCCCATAGACATGTTAAGCCACTTACCTCTACTTTATGAATCATTCAAGCATAAGGTAGCTCAAGAGTTGAACCAGGCTCTTACTCTGGATCATTTGGCTCTTTTACTACTAGTGATGCTAGTATTTTACTCCAATATTGTAAGTGGAAGCTATTAAAACTACCAAAGATCACAGAATTGAACAGACAGAAAATATTATTTTAGCACAACAAGGGAATTGCCAAAAACCTGTTCGCTGAAAACTTGGCACACAGTAGTTGATCAAATGATGATGATGCATCTCTCTGGTTTTCTGTCATGGTGTCTATTCTCGATTTCTTCTCTGTTTATCGAGGATTTCCCTTCTGCATTATGTTCATAACGTTCATTCACCTTGTTTTAGGTGTGGCACTTTCTCTTTTGTTATCCCCTTTCAATAAAACATTGCATCATAACAAGATATCCCAGTTTTGTTGTTGACAGCTAAACGGTAATGTGTTTTTTTGTTTTGCTTTGTTTTTTTTTTTATTTCACCACAGCGTAGTAAAAAGAAAACAAAAGCTTTTATACCTTTCTATCTAATAAATAGGCTGGTATAAGTAAATAAAAGAAACAAAAACTAAAATGTACTGACTGAAAAGGCAAAGTCCATATTCAAAAATAAAAAGACAGACCACTAGGAGAATTGGAAGATCTATTAAGACCTGTTAAATAGACAGTCAGAAGGTCTTATCTAATAGAGTTTGACGCAAGACCATTTCAAATCACTGTGTATTTAAAGGGGGTATTTACGTAAAATCAATATGTAATGTTATTCCCCTCATCCAAAACATACCTAGATGGTTATTGTCCTGTTGTGGATGAAGTTCTTGAATCTCTCATGGCAGTCATGTGGTGGATTCAGTTCTCTACCTCATTACCCAGCACTCCTCCTCCAGCCACTCTGCTCCTCCAGACTAGTGGCAGCAGCAATTGACAAACACCTGTTGGAACCACTATTATCAGTGCATTCGTCCCCATCGCTCCCACTAGTTTATCATACAAACCACTTCTCAGTCCGACACTCTCAGTCCCACGGTTGTAAATGAGAAGATGAAGATAATGTCGTGATGAAGAGCTGCTGGGGGTTGTGTCTGAAAGATTGCACATTAAGTTGCTTGCTTTCCAACCACAAACTTAAACCACATTATGAGTAATCGTCCTGCAGGGAGGTTCGCCCCGCTTCTTGCAGTCTTTTGCAACTAAACCTGGATTTCTTCGAGCATGTTTGGGTTAGGTTCATTTAGCTCCATTAGACTTCCAACTTACACAACTTACACTTTGCTATCTCTGTTGAAGATAATCTTCCCTACAGCATGATGCTACCACCACCGTTCTTGGTGATTTTTTTTTTTTTTTAGATTAATGTGCAGTGTTAGTTTCTTAGCTAGATATTTGTTGTTAATTAAACAAAGCAGCTTTTTTTGTGGTTACTGTATCCAGTGAAAAGAGACTTCTTAAGGCTTCCTTTCGACAATAGCTTGATTCTTGTCATGCTTCCATAAGAGCCAGATTTTTGTAGTGCACAACTAATAGTTGTCCTTGACAGATTCTTCCAACTGGGCTGTAAATCTTAGCAGAATCTTGGCTGCTTCTTCTCTGGTTAATGCTCTCCTCTCCCGGCCAGTCCGCGTAGTTAGACGGTCGTGTCTTGCTCGGTTTGAAGTTCCACCGCATTCTCTCCACTTTCAATATTGAAGGGTTATGAAGACTTTTGGAAGGAACTGTTCATGGGAGTGATTTGGTTTTTATCAGCTTCACATTCTCCTTGTGTTGCAACCTCATCTTGTCCGTTCCACATTCTAGGCTGAGCTGTGGGAAATGTTAGCCCATACGGTCTCTCTGGGTTGGTCAACCACATTTATCCACACCGGGAAAATCACTTTCTTAAAATAAAAAACTCCCAGGAATAGAGAACACAAAATTGCTTCGACTTAGATTTTGATAGTTCTGCTGCAGAGCCTCCTAGGATGATGCAGGTTTGACATTTAAAAGGCTTCAATTGGATAAATATCCCCAAATTCAGTCAGCAGAAGCTCCACACATCTAAGACCAAACTAGAGACACATGTGCCAACCGGAGTGTGAGAGCCCCCCGTTCTTATTCCCAGGGTAAGATGTGAGAAACGGCTTCAGCTTCATCAAAACTGTAAATCAGAGTTAATAAAAGTCTTGTTCAGTAAGTAGACGACTGCCAGCGCTGATCATGTTCCAAAAATCTCTGCCGCAGGTCTGCAATATTTATTACCACAAGAATGAAAGAAAAAAAGGAAAATTACAATCGCTGCATCCATTATTCTCATGGCAATAAGCAGCCTCCTAAGTGGATGCACCACGTTTGTATTTTTATAAGGAACACAGCCAGGCCGAGCACAAGGGCCTCCAGGGAGGAAGAGTTTCGCATGCTGGTAGGCAGATTCTGTTACCTTTGAATGGACACAGGGTGGGTCTTTCCTCCTGCTTTTATTCTTCCCATTAAGCTACAGTAATCTTTGTCTGGCTTCAGCTGGATTTCTAAGACATGTATGAAAGCCATAACAGGATACCCACCTAGAAACGGAATATACATATTTACAAAATGTTGGGCTCTGCATTTAATTTAACTCCAGATGCTTTCAAATAAAACAAAACAGAACAGACTCTGCAATAAAACTTTAAAGAAGATGTTAAATCAAAGGTGCTGTCATGCAAGTAATGCTGATTTGTAAGTTTAGCACAAGGAAGTAAATAATTTGTAAGTGGTAAGAAATGTGATGCATTTGTATTCGGCCTCCCTGAGTAAACACTTCATACAAGCAGTTTCCATTGCAAGCTTTGTATACCTGGGTCCTGTTGAAGAAAAGTATCATCAATGCATGATACTTCCATTGCTATGTTTTATTGTTGGGATGGGGTGTGTAGGATGATGTGCAGTGTCGGTTTCTGGCAGATAGTTTTTGCATTCTAGCCAAAAGGAAAAAAAAAAAAAAAGAATAAATGAGCTTTGATCTAATCTGACCAGAGCTCCTTCTACTTTTGCCATCTGCCTTAAACTGCTTCTGAAAAGCTTTAGGCATAACATTTTATGACTTTTATGGTTTTCCTTTTCATAGTGTTGCATAAAGACCAGGTTATTGGAGTGCACGACCACTAGTCAACTGTGTACAGATTCCTAAACAGCAGCTGTGGATCTCGGCAGCTCCTTCATAGCTACCATGGGGCTAATGGCTGATTTACTAATTCATGCTCCCCTTAAGTCACAACTGCTCTCAATACAGTTTTAACAAACTTCTTCCATTTCAGATTATGGAGTGAACATTTCTTTCTAATTTTTTTTTTTTTTCTTACCAAGCTCTACTCTAAGCTATCGTAACTTTGTCACTAGCGTTTCTGGTGTGCCTCTTCCTGCTTACGGATTTTCTACCAAACCTCTGACGCTTTCACACATGTGGACTTCTAAACTCAGCTGTTATTGGCATCTTTGTGAAGTGGTCTAAATACAAATAAATATTTGAAACCAATGATCATATTTCTTGACGAAATACCTAAAGGTTCAAGGGGGAGTGAAAATTTGGCAAGTCACTATTTACATTGACAACGTGTAATCGCCAGTAACTCCTGCAAGGAATCTTAGCACATCCAAAAACTTGCTGCTATAAAATGAGCCGAAATCCGAGCAGATTCAGACAAAGCGGTGATGTGAAAAGTTCATCTGGAGTGTTGACGCAGGGTAATGAGGATGGAGAGGAGAAGCTCTGGAGAGGAAGAAGGGATTAGATGTTGAATGGGGCAAGAGGGGGTTGAAAGAAGGCCACTGACAGCAGAAGGCATCAATACATGGGCTGCTCCTCCCACAGTGGTGGAGGGGTCCATCACTGGGAGCAAAGGGGACGAACACAGAAAACACAAGCGAGAGGGACCTCCCTCATCTTTTCTATAGCCCTGGTTAAGATCGAGGTCATGACTGAGCCCGATGAAGACGTCAAAAACCCTGAGTGACAGCCGCTTGCACGCACGCACACACACACACATACACACAGGCGGTTTAGCTGCGGAGTGCGGGGTCATGACCGAGGCAGATGAAGACGTCAAAAGTTTGACAGCTGCGATCCGTCTGGGATGATCGGAAACGAGGAAGGAGAGACCTCAGAAAGCATCTGAAATGTGAACGATTGGGGAGGCGGAATGAAAGAGGAGCCTTCTGCTTTTTGTCTCTGCCGTCCTCCTCCCATCTTTGTCGTCTGATTCTCCTCAACTTGCAGCCCGGGAAGATTGGAATGTTTCTGTGTGTCTGAGCATTTTTTTTTTTTTTTTTTTTGCCTCTGTGCTCACTTCCATCCAGAGAGATTTCATGCTTGTGCTTCCCTCCAACGCACCTGCAGTGTCTTGTAAACAGCAGAAAGCATTTGAGCAGAAAGGCAGCCGCAGTGAAAGAGAGATGATAGAAAGAAGAACCAAGCAGATGATGGAATGAGTGCGTAATCGCTGCATTCAGCCCCTCTAATTATTGCACGGCGCTTCTGGACTCAGGACATGTTGGATAGCTAACATACAGTGTGTGCGTGTGCGTATAATCGAGTGTGCGCCTGTGCATCGCATCTCTGATTTTCTGCCCAACAAAGCCTTCCCTCGAATGTACTTGCTGTTTGGAGGAATGCCCAGGAATGCCTGGAGAGCAGTGTTGAGGGGCAAACGGAGAAGGAAGTGTGTGTGTGTGTGTGTGTGTGTGTGTGTGTGTGTATGTCTCTGTGCAAGAGTGTGTTTGTGTACAGCAGGTGACAGTCTGAGGAAAGACGCTGGAGAGCCACGAGTAATTGTCTGAAATGAGCCAAACTCAGGTTGGGGGGGGGAGTGGTTTGCAATCCTCCAACCAGAATCAGACTGCATGCGTGTGTTTGTGCGCTATTGTCTCCATCTCCCAGGTTGGTCTTAATGTAGAGGAGCTTTGCCAGTTCCACCAAGCAGTCTATAGCTCTCTGGCATCGGCACCGGCTTTTTTTTTTTTCCAGTTTCTCTCTGTCTTGGTCTCATTATCCCTCCTTTCTCTTCCTGAACTCTTCTCTGAGATTTTTCAGTCAGGAGTAAGGGGGTTTGCTTCCGCTGGTGGTGGGGTAGAGATGTGTGTCTGATAGGGAGGAGGGGATATTGTTGTAGACCGCTTTTCAAATGCTAATGTATTCACCCTTGGATTTGGGTGGGCATACACACACACTCACCAGTCTTTACACATTTCTCTTTAAACCTCAGAAATTTTAAGCCAGATTTTTTATTTTTCTTTTTGATTTCAATGAGATGGAAAGCAGCCACCCTCATGGCGGGAACTCGAAAGGTTTCAGACAGACGCTCTGAAATCACAGATGTACCGAGCAAAACGTTGAGGCTGATTTGAAATTTAGATGCTGGTTTTCCCTTAACTCTAATGCGTGAAGCTGTAAGATTAGCATCCAGAAAATATTTCTAGCTTTTCCTTCTGTTGATTTCCATTGAATATTTATACTGGAGTAGAGATGATGTCAAACCATATGTGTGAGGGAGAACTTCTTGCAAAAGAGGGTCTTACAATTTTAGAACGAAGTTAAAGTGATTGGGGAGTTGACATTGTTCATGCATTGGTATATCCACTTGAAAACACAACCAATTAAAGCATCTCACAGTGATGGAAACTTGAGAAACTTAAAAAATATGTTTGCAAAACAACAGTTTTTTTTTTTAAAGGGGCTCTCATAGCTTTAGGGCCCTGGGCTACTGCCCTGGTAAACCAAATGTATAGTATGGTCATGCCTAGAACAGTTGTTCCCAAATATTTCAGCTTCTTAACCTACAAAAACATAGAGGTAAAAGAGACTTGTGATGTCAAATAAACACTGGAGCCTAAATTTTACTATATGTCTTTAGAACGATCCCTTCAGACACTTATAGCAAAGTGTGCACTCTCAATAATTTTTTTGCTTTTTAGTTTGACTTCT